GCACACTGGAACACTTCCTTCTCTGTGTTTGTGGACTCCAAGGTGTGAAATATTCAAGTTCATAAGTGTCAGACGCAAGTAACTCAGTGTTCCCAGCTGTTTAGGCTATCTCCCCAAATATGTTGATTACTCTCTGTGAACCAGTTAAAAGGTCTAACGAGAGAGAGGCGCTCCAGAATTGACGTGGCAACTCTCCCGTGAAGTCAGAAGCTCCGGCTCTTAGACTTGTTTTGTGAATTCTCCGGCCGAAGCTCCTAAATAAACCATCAGTGTTTGACATCAAAGCTCCAGCTCTCCCCGTGTCTCCTTCATGAGTCGGTGACTCCTCTTGCACTGCTACACAGAAGTTTCCCCCACACATATATGTTTTAATGTCTAATAACAGAATATATATATATATATATATATATATATATATATTGGAGTTTGCTTCTTTTTTCTATTTTCTCTTACTGTGTGTATTTTTAACCAATACACTAAGAGAAAGATTTGTTGTTGTATAATTGTATTGTTTTCATTTTGTGGGTATTTAAATATATAATATAATGCCTTAGTGTTTCTGTTATTAATTTGAAATGTAAAATGAATAATACAATTTAAGACAAAGTTAATAATAGTGCATGTTATATGTTTTTGTTGAATACAAGAAAAGAATATGTTTTTAAATCATTTAAAATCAGGTATTCGGGTAAAAGGAAAACATTATAACTTAAACCATCAAACCAACAAATAAAAAGCCGCTTGACTTACATGCCGAAGCGCAGCGTTCCTGACACGTATGTTTGCCAGTGAGCGCAGTAGAACATGAACATCCCGGCGAAACAGCAGAAGAACATCCAGTCCGGGTTGGTGCCCATCTGCACGGCTATACTGGTTCCCAACACCACAAACACTGTACACACACATGAACACAGTCAGCTTTAGAGAACGAGTCTCAGAATAAAGACAAAGTGGATCAGAGTCCAGCCGGAGAGAACTGACCGGTGGAGAGGGAGTCACAGCCGTGGTCGAACAGCTCGCCCAGCGGAGAGCTGCTGTTGGTGCGTCTCGCCTGCTTCCCATCAATGGCGTCCAACGACTGGTAGATGAACAGACCCACCGCACACAGCAGGTACGCCCAGAGAGGAGCCTGAAACACACGCACATTCATATCAAACTCAAAGCACATAACAGGTAAAAGAGATCTCAGATCAGGTGACCCAGACAAAAGAATTACTTGATACTATACCTGCCTTAAGATATTGATACTCAACTATTGAATTAAGTTATTAATTAAGTAAAACCTCCCTGTTTCTGATGTGCTTTGGGGCTCTGCAATATGGAGAAACAAAAATATCACGATATTTCTGATCAATATCTCAATGATGATATTAGGACAATAATGTATGGTTTGATTTTTTTTCCTTCACAAATTATTTACACATGGAGAAAATTCTGATAAATAATCATCAGTAAAGTGGATTTAATGATTAAGTGGGTAAAGACGAATAGTATAACAGCTAGGACAGTCCAGTAAGTTCAGAAAGCACATTCACATATAATGGAATGCAGCCTCAAAACCAGGAAAAGACTACTCTGACAGTATAAGAAACTCAAAACAATATGTAGTCTCGTATTACAACATAATGGCAATAGTTTTTCTTCATCTGCTTTAATTTGCTCTTAATGCCAATTTATATTCCATCAACTCTGCAGCTCCTTCAGTGTCTTTTAAACAACACAAAAACATGCTTTTATTCATGGCTTTATTCTAATGTATTCTCCTTTGCTGTAAAAACTCACAAAAACCTACTGCAAATGTTTTACATTAAAACCCTTCCTGCAGCTACCTTTCATGCTGATTTTCATAATATTTTGTTTTTTATTCACAGTATCATTACAGATACAAATCCAATATGGAGAAGCAACTGGAGTGAATTACTAATTTTAACATTTAAAATGCTTTAAGATGAACCCTGACCTGTTCAGTGGCCGTGGGGCAGTAGTAGATGAGCACCAGGGTGGTGAAGACGTTGGTGGCCAGGCCGATGATGGTGATGAGGTTGGGGGCGATCCAAGCGGGGACTCGTCCCACCAACCACTCCCAGTAACGCTGCATCAGCGGCTCCAGCAGGGAGCGCCCCGCACTGCTGTACCTGTGGGGGGGAACAGCAGCCAGGAGAGGATTTACGCCGGAGATTTATCAGAAATAATGATGGTGACACAATATAGGAGTCGTGATGAGAGCAGTGGAATACAAATAAAACTAACTTGTATTAGGGATGGAACATAACTTGTTTTAATACTGAAATGCTATAGGAAAGATTACAATTTTCAAAGCTGCAATTGTTATATAGTTTATTATAATAAACAACTGTACAACTATTCTGAATACATACAGCTCTGGGGAAAAACACTCCAAATGTTTCTTAAATCTCAATCTCTACATGTATGGCAGCCATTCCATTCCGGTGTCTGTTGACAGAAATGTTTTCAGTAGTTTATAGAATCAAACAAACTCAAACACATACCTATAAATAGTAAAAACCAGAGAAACTGATCATTCTGCAGTGGTCTCTTAATGTTTTCTGTATAATGCCAATTTTGAATGTTAATCAAATACTGGTATGCATACCCTATGTAATCAGATAAGTTTCTTATATTATCGGAAACATAAAAAAAAAAGGTTGAGAATGATCAATCTCAAACAGTAACTAAGTTTTAAATTATTTGACTAAATGTATCCTATTTGTGAAACCTACTTGTGAAACTGGAATTTTATTTAATTATTTTGCAACCATGGTATGTTTTTAAGTTCTATTACCATGTTGTTTCATTTTTTAGCAATCTCTGGAACAAGTATTTCCCTTCGGAATACATAATAATCCAACTTATAGTGTAAGGCAGGGGTCGGCAACCCTAAAATATTTAAATTGTATTTTCGGATCCTGAACGAGACCGTCGCCAGAGCGCGTCTCCCCGTTACCTGCAGAAGGAAGCCATGCACGCAACACAGCGCAGAAGGAAACAAAACATTTAAGAAATTTAGACCGCAACAGAATTAACAAGCGACTGCCTGTTTTTCCTGGCCAAGGACAGGTTCCTTGAACACAACACGAGCCTAACGTGTCAAAACGTGGTGTAGTGCTGACGGAGGGCCTGGCCCACGGAACGCCGCTCCAGCACTTCCAAAATTGTAGTACACAGAGCTGTACACATGCCACAGTTTTTGTGTGGCTGTGTCTTTAGTTGTAAGCCCAGTGGTGATCTGTTCATCTGCCATCAAGTGGCGGACTGGCCATCGGGCCACTAGGTCCAACGTTCCCTCCCCCCGTTGACAGTTCACATGGGCTGGGCTGGATGAGATTCCCAGGCTGATTTTCAGTCCCAGTCAGTCCCTGTCTGTCATACTGATCATACAATAACGCCATAGAAAATAATATGCTACATTACAGTAGGCCTACAACTACTTCTGGGTCTCTGTGTGTCATTCAAGCTCGGCCCTGCGTGTGTGGCACGAGCGTATTTTGTGTGAGCGAGCAAGAGAGAGCGGTACCGGGGATTATTGCATCCGGTTAGCTAGCTATACTAAGGAATATAAAGAGCTTTTTCTACAACCAGGTGGAAGAGAGCTCATCTGTCAGACTAAGAGGCTGATAACCTCAGCTGAGTGAGGTAAAGGCACACCTTTATACGATCATTATAGTTATAAAGAGAATAAATAAAAAACAGGTATAAAATACTATATGACGGTAAAAGAAAGTTGTTATTAATAAACAAGAATAGAGTTTGAAAAGGGAGTGATTTGTAAAATATCCGTAAAGAAAAAGTACCGTAATTTTCGGACTATAAGCTGCGCCTTTTTCCCTATTTTTCGACGCTGCGGCTTATACAACGGTGCGGCTAATCTATGGATTTTTACAGCTAACGGCCAACACCTTTAACTCTATGGGCTCTATGGCCGGTCCGCGGACCCCCACCCTTTAAGCGGCGGGTTCCAGCAGGAAAAGCTGGAGGCCGGAAAAGAGTGAGACAGGTAGCGCGCAAAAGTAAAAGTGGAACCGAGAGTGGTATGCCGCTGCTGCGGCTGCGGCTTATATTCAGGTGCGACTTATAGTCCGAAAATTACGGTAAATCTGTTTACAGTTCCGTTTCATATGGTAGAGCCTCCAGCAAAAAGGCGGGCTAAAATCCTTGATTATTCTATTAAACATGCGGGGTTTTTATGTGATTTCATGCAGTAAAATTTGCTTACATCACAGCCGTGGTGCTGAACCATGTGGATCCTCTGGTGCCTTACATCAGGTCTGAACGAACACACACACACACACACACACACACACACACACACACACACACACACACACACACACACACACACACACACACACACACACCCCCACACACACACTCTCTCTCTCTCTCTCTCTCTCTCTCTCTCTCTCACACACACACACACAGACGGACACTCTCTCGTATAGTCTGACCAACTTCAATCTTGTAGGCTACTCACATTCGTTTCTCGTAGCCCTCGAAAGGCGTTTTGGAGGGTTGATGCCTCGGTGAACGTTGAGTTGGTTTGGCTTTTCTTGTCTGCAGCAGCAGAAAGCATTTTTCGAATGTGTTGAATGAATCAAAGTGGGTCGTCAACCGTCGATTTTCTCTAAGACTTATGCTCCAACACACAGATGGCACGGGGTCAGAACTAAGTTTCCCCCACTTTCGTGCAAGACATCGGGGTTACTGCTTTGCGTCGGTCTTTTAGCAGAAATGTTCAACGGGTAAATGAGATGGATCAGATTTTTTCATCTTTGGTGTTTTCTCTCTCGCTGTGGAGTTCCACACGTTCACTTCTACGGTGTTGTTTTACCTTCTGTGATGCGCGAGCTGATGACGTCGCGTCATCATCATCACTACTTCACGAGTTAACTTTTTTTTTCTCAACTTTGTGTGGAAAAATGCGGGGATTATGCGGCCTTTTGATAAATATGCGGCCTTTTAAAAATCTGCGCCATTTTGCTGATTATGTGGTAAATTCTGCGATCGCAGGATCGCGTTTTTCTGGGGGGTCTAATATGGGTGTTGAGAGCTGTATCCATAGATCTCCTAATGTTGCTCTCAAAGTGCACCAGATTGATGCTTTTAACTTCAATATAAAAAAAAAATCTTCCCGGGGGAGCATGCCCCCGGACCCCACTAGAGGAGGTGAGGACCATGATAATATGCACACATCTTGTGTCCATATCTTTCTGTTTGGGTGGTCATGCCATGGCATGTGCGTGTCATAGTGATCTTAATGTGGATTTGGCACACTGATCACATTTTTATTTTTTTAAAAGGCACTTCATATCAGAAAGGTTGCTGACCCCTGGTGTAAGGTTTTCCCTGAGCGTCTCAGTCAGCTGACTCACCTGTGCTCCTCCAGTCTCTTGAGCTGGTGTCGGGACAGGGGGGGTGTGGGCAGCTCGATCAGCCTGCGCAGCACTCCGGGGGCCAGCCAGCAGGCCGCCTCCATGCCCAGGCCCGGCCCAGGGTCCTTTTCCCGGCCAAGGCCTCGGCGAGAACGCAGGCCCCCCCCTTGCTGCTGCTGCTGCCCCGTGGCGCTCATGGAGCCCTGCTGCCTGCTGCTATGGTCCCCGATGGCTCTGGCTCCGCCTCTGCCACTGTCCTGCCGGAGGGGCTAAAGATCCACAGTGGGGCTGGATGAGGCTGCAAAATACGTACAAACAAGAGACCACTGTCACGATACTGTCCCGTGAAAATATATTTGAAGAGCGTTTCATCATTGTTTAATCTGATGATTATTTGTTATACTTTCTGTCAGATCTAAACCAATACCTGCATTTTAATATGTGCAGATACAGATATTTAGTATTTGGCGAGCATGAACTCCTGAGGTTCTTTCACGTGATGCTTTTGCAGATGCTAAATTAAATTAGCATTATTGTAAGAAGCCGCTCAGGATGTTGATGTACACACATTACAAGCTGCTCTCTTGCTTTTCTGTATTTCAAGAATAAAATATTTCCAAACGAAGGACACATTGAGTAAGCCCTCTGCTACTAGCTCCTCAGACTGCAGACTGTCTCATGTTACGTTTTGGCGGCACAAACTGTACCTCAATCTCAAATAATTCTGGGAGACAAAAATAAAAAATGAGCTTTAAGTAATACAACATATTATTTATTTGTGCTACAATATTTTAGGATTAATGGTGCTTATAATTGCACCATTAAACACTGTATAGAGCTAAACACACGACAATAGGCCAGCTTGATCAATATATGGAACTGATTAGTTCATTACGTCAGGATCAGCACCCATTATTAAAATTCGGTTCAGATCAGTCCCAAGACAAGTCTGATAATAAGTCTGCCACTGGTTTATATATTATAATAACAAGTGAAACATAAGTCTAATATCAGGCGAGAGAGATTAGTCACTGGGGGTGGATAAAGTACATGACTATTTCAAATTACTAATGCCAGTGTAAACATAAAAGTAAAACATTGAAAAAAGAAAATTATACAAAAGTACAGCAAATGCTTTGACATCTAGATATACAGACCAATAAAGACTGTATATAAAGAGGACATATACGTATCCAGATGAATCATGTCTAATGATACATCATTATTTAGTGGTGAACATGTTTTGCAATTATAATTTAAATCACTCAAGTAACTTAAGTTATCAAATTAAATAAAAAAGTAGTAGGATATAAAGAACATATTTGCCTCTGAAATCAAGTGGAGTGGAGGATCAAGTAGTACAAAATGTAAATACTCAAGTAAAGTACAGGTCCCTCTAAATTGAACTTAAGTACAGTAGTTGAGTAAATATACTTAGTTACTCTCCACCACCAAAATGATCAGAAACTGCCCTGAACACACACGTGTTATTGTTAGCACCAGGGCTTACATCAGTGTATACTACAGTACTAACCACATGACTGCACTAAGTACCTGACATGAATATCAACTATGAACACATGAATACCAAATAAGACCCCATTATCTGCAGACATTGACAGGGTTTATTCAGATAACTGTTGCCAACTGTAACAACCAAAGACAGTGTGTGATCTACTTGATGGACCGTGTCCGTGGTACTAACCCATTTATTGTGACTGTCAGCAACACATGAGCTACTGACGTTAGCAAAACAACCTGCTACCAGCGGTTTGCTAATGCTAGCATGCTAGCTGCTTCCTCCAGTATTGCTACTGTTGAAAATTAGCATTAGCTGGTAGCTACGGAAGACAATGTTGTCACTTTAATATTTTTAAATAGTTTGCTTCATGTTGGCTTATTATCACTTATTCACACCATCATTAATGAAAATATCATCGCCTCTTAAAAATATTGATGAATGTAGAGTGTACTCTTGACACCTGCGCTGATGAGTGCGGCTAGTTGAAGTTAGCTTGACGAGCTAACCCCAGAGACAGCTAAATGACGGATGTAACACCGACTGACCTGGCCGATTAAAGGACGAGAGCAGCGGACAGTCCGAGGGGCAAGGAGGGCGCTTCAAGCCAGCAGACAGGACCCCTCTGTGGGTGGTTAGTTTATACGTTTCTCTCTATCAGACGTAGACCACCGGAGGGACGATTTGCAGCTGGAGGTGGATCACCAGTACCGGTGTCACAGTGGTTGTTGCAGCTAGTTCACGTCAGTTCACGTTAGCCATCAAAGAAATCTCGCGTTGTTCTAATCATCATAGGCCCTGAGTTTGGTCTCCCAGGCTATTCAAGGAGAAATTCAATTTAACATTGTTTTTCCTAAAATGAAACTGTGCACGGATTTTGAAGTTTAAAATGCACCAAAAGCAAGGGACGTCCAATTTGAATTGTTTAATGGTTTAGGCTTTTTTCTGGTGTCCACAGGAAAAAAACTGTATTATGGTAGAAGAAGTTCTGAGGAGTGGTGGAGTCGAACTACTGTAATTCATACTTCAGTTGAATATTTACATTTAATGCAACTTTATCATTTTACTCCACTACATTTTTTATGACAGCTTTAGTTACTTTAGATTTAGTTAAACACATTTTTATCTCCGTCCTGTCCAACATACAAATTAATGCAGCAGTTAAATGGTCAAATATAGTTTGGGGCAAACATTTTCCCCTCTCCTAGTTAGAAAGTGATACATGTCTCAAGACAGACCTTCTCTAAATGTATTTGGTTTAGTGTAACGTCATGTCAAACAGCAATAGTGTCAATGGGATCAAATAATATATAGTCAAGATCAATCCAGGAAACCTAAAGGGGATGAGGTATCTTGTTCCAGACTTTGTCTGCAGGTCTGAATTCTCTGACTTTAAAAACACCTCCTCTAAACCCGTGGTTCTCAACCTTGGGGTTGGGACCCTCAAGTGGGTCCAAAGATATTTTCTTGGGTAATAGTAACCACTTGCCATGCAGCAACACTACAGCTGTACAGTTTATGAGCAATCAATGTGTTTGCATGGAGGGGAGGACGGGTTGTGACACCATATTCTAGACCCTAGGGGCTTGCGAGTCAAAACAGTTTAAAAACAACTCATCCAGACCAGCAAGTCAGGTTCAAGCTCTGTGTTGCACATAGCGGGCACAATATTTCAGTTTTGTATCAGTTTTGCTTGACTTTTTTTGTAGTTTTTTTTATTGTGAATCCCCCCATGCTTGAAAACATTACTTGTTTGTATCGCCCAGCCCTCGATTATACATCACGACATTTCTGCACATCTGCAGTTGAATGGGTATCTTAAGACAAAGAATGGACACAGAAAACGTTTTATGTATGTGTGTAGCAGCCCCATGTTTGAGCATCAAAGTGATGTTAGGCCTCCCTGTCTGACTGTTGAGTCAGGTAAGGGTTAAAGAAGTCTCTCAGGAGGCTCTGAACCCGGGGGGGCTGTGGGCTCCCGGCCCCAGACACCAGCGCTGGATTCAGAGCCTGGTTCAGGGTCTTTGTGGGGTTGAAAGCAGAGCGGGTCTCGGCAGTGTGGAGACCCTCGATGGCGCTGGACAGCCAGATGAGCCTCTTGAGACTCTGGATGCTTCGGCCGCGGTCGTGCATCAGCTGGTGCTCGCTCACAGCTCGACGGCTGCAGGGACAGGGAGGAGAAAGACTGGTCAGATATTTCATCCAAGTACAGAGTCAGATTCTAAATACATACAGTGGCAAGTTAAGAGTATTTATCAATGAATATCTGTGACGTTTAATGCTTTATTGGCCATTTTAAGCCTTTTGCATTGATCATGTACAAAAATAAACCTATAACATCTACTGTAAAAGCAAGCACAACAAAGTACACAAGTATAATGTGTTAGAGAAATAGATACTTAAAACAAAGAATTATAAAATGTCTATATACAAGTGCTAGTCTTCATTCAATGGGTGAATGTGTACATTATTTAAAGCATATAGGCTTTATACAGGCATGATTATATAATGGTTATGATTTTATTTGTAAAATTAGGATATTAAATATAAAAAGTGCTTTTTTACTTTTGAAAAAACATCTTTATGAATTAAAGGTGCTTGAAATGTACAATAAATCCTGTTATATTAAAATCATCACCAGACATGCATCCCTCGCATATAGCTACAAAGCGATCATCCTAAACATCTATTGCTGAAAAACACTGAAAAATCGATATCTGATTTTGTTATAGAATTTGGTTGCTTTTTTGTAGACATTCTGATGTTTTGCTGTGATTTTCTGTATAGATATAATATATATTGTATCTTTAAAAGTCTTCCTCTAAGACATACTGTACAGCTTAAAAAAAGTTTCTGAACTTATTGCACGATTTTGCATCATGTATAAATATCAATAATAAATTAGGTTGGAACAGGAGTCTCACCTCTCGTTCTGTTGACACCGAGCAGCTGTAAAAACAACGAGAAGCATGACAGCGAGCCACTCCACAGGTCTGTGGGACATCTGCATCTTCTGAAACAAAAACGGTAAGACAAACACTAAAAATTCAGATTCAGAGGAAAAAAGTGACCTGGTCCATGAAAGACACATATTCCAAATTCTGCTGTTATATTTGAAAAACCTTTGGATATCTGCATCAATTCACAAGATTTCAGAGATTTAAAAAACTAAATTGTCAAACCCTAAAACACCTTGTGCAACAAAACACATCATTGTTGTTTTCCCCCCTGCATAAAACACTTGACGGCTTTGCGCCTAAAAAGAATAAGCAACCCTTCTTTCAATCTAAATACACCCACAATGGTACAGCTCATTCGTCGGAGTAGTGGATGAGCAACGTGTAAACTGACCAACCAACTGCTGTCAGGAAGGTTGTTAAAAGCAGAATAGATAACGTGTAAAGATATCTGAAATCTCAGTTTAACTCTGTGTGTGTGAGTGTGTTTGCCTCTATCCATCTTTAAATGTATCAGTTAAATTATGTGAGGTCTAACTCATAGATCTAGAAATGAAGTGCCTGAAGCTCAGGATGTATCCAACGACAAGACAAAAATGCTAAATCTCTATTCAAATTAGGAGTAACTTTAAAGTAAACACAATATAAGAGAAATATATATATATTCGAAATAACTTTTGAAATTGTGAATATTATATTAAATAATATTCTTAATGCAAGAAATAACTACACAAATTGTGATAGTTATATTATGCAATGATGATAGATGCGACAATGACTGTACAATGCACGTTATGATTACAATGATGATAATAAGAGAATGATCATCATAGTGCAATAAAAGTATAGATGTCAGATTACCAAATTTCCATTTTGTTAGATTTTATGTTAATCCCATGAATACATTTTTTTAGAAAGATAAATCCGACATATGTTAAATTGATTTATAAAACTGAAATTGCATCACATGTATACTTTTAAACATAAACAACCTTAAATAATCCAAAAGCAGTTTGATGAACACAATTTCACCAAAACACACCAAATTCACCGAAGCAACTTAGAATAGAAGAGAAAACGGAACGTGAGCCAAAAAATGTAATAGAATAAATCACAGAAATGAATATAAGTGAAGTGAGGGGGAGATCCCTCTATAAACTTACATTAATTGTCCCTGTTGGTGACAGCAGCTCCTCTGATGATCAGACACTAAACTGACTTCAGGTATGACCTCCAGACCTTTTTATAAAGAAGCCCCACACACACACACACACACACACACACACACACACACACACACACACACACACACACACACACACACACACACAGGCTTAAGAGTCACAAAACAAAGTGGGGCGTTTCATTTGCTGAATGAAACAAACGTCAGTGCCACATCTCTCTGACATGTGATATTTGTGTCTCTAGGGTAAAAAAAACATCAAACATTTTCCGGGTTATTTTCAAAAATTACAATCCCAAACAGCTTCCCCCACCTCAGTCTGACAGTTTGGCTGTTTACACACTTGCAAATACCCTTTACATAATCAGGTGTTTTGAAAGGGGAGATGAAATTCAATTGAGGGATTTTAATTTTTCTATTTTCTGGTCTAATCCGCCCCTCTCTATCGGACAGATTCAGGCGTGTGACAAAGGAATTTATAAAAATAGGGCTGAGTGATCTTATGGATGTTGAGTCAGTGTAGATAAACTGAAAGTCAGCAAACTGTCAGTCAGCTCAGGTTTAAAGTTTTGTGAACACACTCTGTCTGTAGTTGAGATGTTTGTCGCCTGGAGCTCCTCTGCAGCTGCTTAACATTACAGTCACCTCCAATAGTAATGAACCCCGAATAAACTGGAGTCCCTGGTTGCCACGGTGTCACCACAGTCACCCTTAGAGATGCAGTCGTCTTGACGACACCCTCCAGGACGAGTTTCCCTCAGTTAGAAATGTCGGCCAGCGTCAGAGGATTGTGGGTGGAGAGATAGAGGACAAGTGATTAAGTCCATTAAAGAGGAAATGATGGCCTTGTAAAGAAAAGTCAGAGACTAATAGAGATCAACAGAGAAGAAAGAGAGAGCTGCAGATAAACTAATTATCTGTAGCTGAAGGGAAACTTTATCACAGCCGGAAGCACAATGCCTATCAGGGCCTTATAAAACTTTTTAATATATTTTACAGATAACAGTTATTTATCAAATGTTATCAATTTTCTTAAAATGTAGGAGCGCTCCAGAGGATGTTGAATTCTATATATAAAAGATTCCAGATGGCAGCAGTACATAGACAGAGTTGAAAACACCAATATCTTAAAGGTCACCTATTATGTAAAATCGACTTGTTCATGTCTTTTATACATAAATATGTGTCCCCTCTGTGTAAAGAGATTCTGAAAGTTTCAGGATAAAAGGCCCCTCTCTTTTTGTCCTGATCCATTTCTATAAAAACCTGTGTGAAAATTAGCTGATCAGATTCTGGCCACTTTATGATGTCATAATGTATTTTTGGGTCGTGTAACCATTAGCCAATCACCAACCAAGCAGTGGCGAGCCGTCAGGGCCCTCTAGGCCCTCTGTGAGGGTCTAAGATATTCTAAAAAATAATATTTGAAAACATAAAAAAAAAACATTTTTTTTAAAATATTCTTTTTAATATTTTTTTTTTGTTAAATGTTTCATTAGTTTTACCTAAATAACTTGATTTAATTGTATTTAAAATAACATTTCCAAATAAATAAATCCTTCGAATCTGCCTGTTCAGTTTCTGTTGGAATGTGAAGGGTTAAATTCCGTATCTGCGAGTTACTCTGAAGACGGGAGAGCTTGTTGGGCCCTGTCTCAGGTCGACTGTTTTCATTTAATCGCTCCTCGGTCCTCGGTCTCACCGGAAGTTGATTTGTCTGCGCCATCTTGAGTACCGTCCCATGGCTCTTATTTCTGCCGGAGGACCGAGG